ACTGTAGTGGCGCACAAGCAGCAGTAGCAGGAAGTGTAGTAGCAGGATCTGCAGTGGTGCACAGGCGCAGCAGGCGGCAGCGAGAGCCGGCGCAGCAGGGGCGGGCTCAGCAGCGGTGATACGCGGGCAGCGGCGGGCGCAGCAGCGGCGGGGCGCGGGCGGCGGCGGGCCTAGCAGCGGCGGGCCGGTAGCAGGCAGTGCGCGGGCCGCGCGGGCCGTATGTGAGCAGTGCGGGCAGCGTGCGGGGGCGGCGGTCAGCGCGGCCAGCGCAGGCTCAGCGCGGGCTGCGCGGGCTGCTCGCGGGCTGCGTAAGCGGGTCGCGGGCGGCTCGCGGGGGTTCGCGGGCAGGTCGCGGGCTGCTCGCGGGCAGTTCGCGGGCTGTGTGCGGGCTGCGCGGGCTGGTCGCGGGCTGCGCAGGCGGTTCGCGGGCTGTGCGTGGGCGGTTCGCGGGCTGTGAGCGCGGCGCGCTGTGCGGTTCGCGGGCGGCGTGACGGGGCCGATCGGGGCGCTAAGGGGCGACGCGACGGGGGCCGTGAGAGGCCGCTAGGAAAAAAAAGTTCGACGGGGCCGCAGGGCCGCTAGATCGTGCTAGATCGACGGGGCCAGCGGGGCCGGAAACAAGTGAAGGTAAGCAGGTAGGTAAGTCGGTGGGCCCTAAGAACAGTCCTAGCGAAGGACCTGCTCTGATACCATGTCAGAAATAACTGAGCAGGAATGGAATGAACTAGCACAGAGTTTGGTACAAGTAGGAAACCCTAACTTTGAGTACCCCCTAAGGTGTAACCCACTACAGCCTACATAATACAAACATGCAATGTTTGACAGGGAGGGCGCCAACTTCGGCTGGTCGACCTGGGACGTCGACCAGCCCTTCTGGTCGACCTGGGACGTCGACTTGCAGCTGGTCAACCAGGGGATAGTGGTCGACCTGGGGAGGTCGACTGGAAGTGGTCGTCGACCTGGGTGGTCGACGGGCACGCACTGGAGCCTCTGGTCGACCTGGTTGCCCGGTCGACCAGGTTACCTGGATCACGAGGTGCTGCGAAGGCTTGCGATGGTCGCCCAGGTGGTTTTGGCGAGGACGACCTCGGTGATGGTATCCCGAGGTCGACGTGGTGCATCAGATGCAGTCGTCAGCACGAGGTGGACTTGGTGTGTGCGCTGTGCAGGTTGCATGCTCGTGCTGTCGATTTTGGGGTCGACTAAAGAATGCACTGCTGATGATGTCACCCTGTGCCTGCTGCTGCCAGCGCGGCCATTCTCTCAAGCAGACGCCATGTGCATGCCAACGATGCGGCCAACCAGAGAGAGCCAGCTCAGCATGTAGAGCTCGAGCGCCTGGGAGTGATGGTGATGTGATGCTGCAGTGCTGGTGGCGGCAGGTGCACCGACCGTTGCTGCCCTTGCACTCGGCTCACTGGTAGCCCCATCCCCATCTGCTGCGCTTGCTGCAGCAGCCGCACCATCCCTAGCAGCAGCAACATCAGCATCAACCGTCGCAGCAGCGAGCAGCAGCAGCGCCATGGCAGCGGGAGTATTGCAGGGGTGAAGAGCCATGCATGGCCGACCCAGGAAGGGATGCTCCTGTTAGCACAGGGAGGGCAGCACAGGGTGGGCGGCATGGGGCGGGCAGTGCATGAGAGCGTGCAATGGAAGTGCAGTGAGGGCGATCACGCGGGAGGTTGAAGCGTTGAAGATGGGCAGCGAGCAATGCAGTGCGTTCAACAAACCATGGCAAGTGAACAAAGGCCAAGATTAGGAATGCATGTAGTGCAGCATAGCTTCACGTCCCGCCCACAGCCACAGCTATGGTTCATGGGGCGTTTGCAGCCGTCGTGAGAGCAAGAGCAATGGAGTTTTTGGGCGGGGACGTACCAGGGGTGTGAGCAGGTGCCAGGTGTCAAGAGAGGGGTGATGCGCGGTGGGCGGACGAGGGGCGGAGGGGAGGGGTGATGGCAGCAAGGGGTGGTCGGGGAGGCGAGGCAGGAAGGCAAAGAGGTCCTGCCAGGGCAGGGGGCGGCCGTCTGTTGGGGGTTGGGAATGGGGGTTGTGGGATGGAGGGTTAAGCTTTGGAAGGGTGCTGGACCGTGGACAGGGGGATGATTTGACAGGGCAAGGGTGGGGAAGAAGGGCATGTGGGGAGAGGTAGGCATAGGTGCGATCAAGATGCATGTGTAGGGCAGATGGGTGACAGGTGGAGAGGGGGCAGAGTGTTGCAGCGTATGGTATGGCGTGCACACACACCTGGGCGGCATGGCAGGAGCAGCAGTTGTGGCACAGAGAAGACAGCATCAAAAACCACATGGCAATGCACCAGTGCCACCGTGTCACTTGCTGCCACGTCACTTGCTGCCACGTCACTTGCTGCCACGTCACATGGTTGTTGCGCACTCCGCGCTCCACATGCAGCATGGCAGAGCAGCCCCCCTTCACCTGTCAGCACCAAGTCTGGCTCACTTGGCCCTGCTGTGTGCTGCTCTGCCTGTGCTGCTGCTGCCAAGGCTGCATGCAGCCGTGACTGCGGTGGGGTTGACGCCTCTGCACCTACTGCTGCTGCTGCTGCTGCTGCTGCTGCTGCTGCTGCACCTGCTCCTGGCAGCGCTGCGGGGTGGTGGGGGTGCAGGCAGCAGTGCAGAGTGGCAGGGTCGTGCGCCTCCTCGCCACTCAGGTCAACCGCATCAGCCCAGTCAACTGGGTCAACCGGGTCAATGGAATCAACTGGGTGAGTGAGAGGAAGAGGTGGGTGGCAGTGAGCAGTACAAGCACCAGGCGGCGTGTCGTGGCTTCTCGCTTCATCCAAGCAGCGCCCATCGCAGCAGCACCCCTGTTGCTGGGTGTGCTGCTGGGTGTGGTGGTGGGTGTGGTGGTGGGTGTGGTGGGGAGTGTGTGTGCGGTGCAGCAGCAGCGGGTGGAGCGTGGTGAGGTAGCCGCCTGGCACAGGGCGGTGGGGGGAGAAAGGGAGGGTGGATGAGATGACAGGGTGGGGCGGGCAGAAACGATGGCAGAGAGGCGTGAAAGAGGATGAAGGGAGGGATATGAGCGAGGGTGGTCACATGGGAGGGGCGTGGGGAGGAGATGGAGTGACAGGGAGGCGAGTGACTGCGAATGGGGGAGAGTCGGTTGGGGAGAGGGCCGGAGTGGTGAGAGGGGGCAGGGAGGGGTGAGAGTTGGGAGGATGATGAGCAGAGGGGTGCTGGGAGAGGGTACGCAAGACAGGGAGCGGAGAACGAGGGGAGCGTGTCGGGGGAGGGGGAAGGGTAGTAGGAGCGAGGGAGCAGGGAGGTGTGGGCGTGCACGCACCTGTGCGTCTCACCGCATCCACGTCGCCCCACTTCACCATTCGCCCATTCACCGCGCGCTCACCTCCCACTGCGCCCTCACCTCCCACTGCGCCCTCACCTCCCACTGCGCCCTCACCTCCCACTGCGCCCTCACCTCCCACTGCGCCCTCACCTCCCACTGCGCCCTCACCTCCCACTGCCAGCGACGACGCCCGTGCCGCAACCCACTGCCACTTCATGCCCTCTCCGCGCATCTCGCCTTCCGCGCGCCCCTCGCCCCCCGCGTGCCTCCCGCCCTCCGCGCGCACCTCACAGCGAGCGCCCTCCACTCCCTGCCGTTCGCCCACCGCGTCTGCCGCGGAACCAGGCCCCCCACTTTGCGCCGCTGCCCACGCTGCTTCTGCGCTCCCCGCTCGTCCAATCCGCCGCGCGTCTGGCGCCCCGGAGGAGCAGCGAGTCGCCTCTTCAATGGACTGCGCGTATTCCGCCGCGCTCCACGTCTCTGCGAGTCTTGCCGCGGCGAGCGGGAAATCCGCGGCGCTGATTCGCCCTGCGCGGAGCGCTGCGGCCATGCTGGTGACGAAGGCGGCGGCGCAAACCTATTCACACTTCCCCCACGCTGGACAATAGGCGCGTTGCGGCAGACGCCGCGGAGGCGGTTCGGTATGGCGCCAACCAGAAAATTGGAACCGAGTGTTTGCTGGGGAGTTGGCGCGACGGACGCAGATTAGGGTTGCACATCCACCACGCACCAGCCGCTCACCACACAGACCAGGGCTGCACATTTGGAAACGCTGAGTTGAGGGACGTGATCTCGCCGCGCTGCCGCCACCCGTGGGCGGCGTCGAGCGCAGTGTGCGCCCGCAGTGATGAAGACCATCGCTCGCCGAAACGCGTTTCCACACATTGAGGCCGATCACTCGCTCAATTCACGACATCACCGCCTCCGCTTCTGCTTAGCTTTAGCATTAGATCTTTTGCGTGAATCTACCGCCAGGAGGCTTGCTGCTGATCGTCCATTCGTTCGTTTCTTAGCCTCGTCGAGGTTACATTGAATTCCGGCAACGAGGCGCACGACATTCGCCCACTTTGCACGCGCCGCAGCGAGGCGTGTCGGCAAGGCGTATCGTAGCCGTTGCGAGCATCGCGCGTTCGTCCCAACGACGTCGCCCCTGAGGCAGCGCAGCAGCGCCGCGCAGTCTTGTGCGCCGCCCCGCTCGCGGCGCTGCAGCGCGCAGCACACGTGTACAGCGCACTGCGCTGGTGGCGGAGTGGGAGGGCGGATGCGAGGGGGCGACTGTGGCGGATGGGGGGATTGCATTGGCGGGGGCGGGCTCACGAGTGCTAATGCGCGGAACGAGCGGGAGGGACGGGACGTGGGGAAGGGGAGTGGCGCAACGGGTGCGAGTGTGAGGGGCGAGTGGGGGGACGACAGGGAAGGCGCGGGGTATAGGAGCGCGGAGGGGGTGAGGCGAGCGGTGGAGGCGCTGTGGCGCCAATCGCAGCTGCTCTCCGCCCTGTGAGCCCCCCTCCTTGCGCCCCCCGCCCTGCTCCCCGCTCTTCCTCATTCCCCGCCGCCCTCTTCTCTCACGAATCACACACTCATTTTCACCATACCAATCCCAGTCTCCGGCCACAGAGCCACCTATCACTCACCCGCACTCCCATTGTTTGATATTCTCCTGTGCCGGCCGAATCCGGTCCCCTCGCCCCCACCAGCCTCCACGAGCGCCAGTGCTTGTTGGCAGCAGCGCCAGCAGCGGCGCCAGGCGATGAGCAGGCGAGCAGTGTTGCAGCAGCAGCAGCAGCAGCACCATGGGCACCACTGCGCACCGCCCCGCCAGTACCCAGCCCCACAGCAGCAGCGAGGGCAGCAGAAGCAGCGGCGGCAGGGGAAACAGCAGGAACGGCAGCAGCGGGGTGGGCAGAAGAGGAGGCGGTGTGGGCGCGGGCAGGCGAGCAGGTGGGCGGCCAGGTGCAGCGCCTCATGTCTCCCCTCTCCCGCGTGCTGCTCGCCCTGCAGGGGGAGGAGAGTGGGGAAACCCAAGTTGATGAGGGAATGAGGGGGGCGGGTGGTAACGGAAGAGAGGGAGAAAGGGCAGGAGGAGAGGGAAGACGAGACATAGAGTGCGTGAGAGGAGGAGGCACGGAGGTTGGGGACGAAGAGGCAGGGGAGGGAGCAGTGGGGTGGGTGGAGCGAGTGGAGGCACTGCGAGTGGTGAGGGCACGGGGCAGAGCGGTGAGGAAGAAGCGATGGCGAGAGAAGAGGCGAGCAGAGCAAGCTATTGCATGGCAGCAGGTGAGAACGTGAAAAAGCTTTGCTTCTTCCCCCCATCCCCGCCTCCCCACTCACTTGCTCCTGTCCCACCCTACTAATGGCAGGTCACCACGCCCTACCCCTGTTTCTTCCACCGCCCTCTGCCCCTCTCTCAAGCGGGCCTGTTTCTGCCCCCCTCTCTCTCTCTGACCAGTGGCGTGTGCATGTGTGGGTTTGTATGTGGGTGAGGAGCAGGCAGAGGCAATAAAGATAAGGAGTCGTGCTTCTCTCCCTGCTCCCCACTTTCTTCTCTGCTGCCCTCCCCACTTATTTCTTCCCTACCCTACCCTACCCGTTCCCCACGATCCCTCTCTCTTCCAACACCCCCTTCCCCGCCTTCTCTCTCCCCACCTTTCTGATGGGTGACCCCTCTCTGTGCGTGTGGACGTGCGGGGTGCCGTGGGTGGGAGGGGCAGAGGGAGCAGCAGCGGCGGGTGGTGGAGGCGAGGATAGACGCGTGGCGGGCGCGGGTGATGGAGAGAGATGCGCAGGCGAGCATGGTGAGTGGCGCATGGTGCATGGAGCATGGTGAGTGGAGCATGGTGAGTGGAGCATGGTGAGTGCTGCTAAACCATGTGCATGCATGCGCAGGCATGGGGGGACAAGTCGTATGAGCCAGAGTGCCGCACTTGCTCTTCATGTATGCTTCTGACACTCTGCTGCCGTTCTTGTGGACCACACAAAACTGGGCTGCTGAGGCCTCACTTCCATCAACTTAGTCGGTATGTGATTTGAGGAGAACGAAACAAACCCCACGACTCAGATGGCTATGTATAATCGGAACGATCAGTACATCGGAATTAAAATCAGAGTGGTTGCATAATCCGCTGCTGCTCTCCCCTCTGCTGATATATACAATCAGATTTGCCACCACCCTGCTGCCATCTTCTCTCCATGCCACAGTCCCGCTCCTCCCCCCTCGTCCTGCCCTGCCCTGCCCTGCCCTGCCCTGCCCTGCCCCGCCCTGGCAGGCACGTCAGCAGCAGGCGGAGGAAGAGGCGAGGGAGAAGAGGGAGCGGGCCCAGCTGCAGAAGCAGGTGCAGTGCGGTGCAAGCAGGTGCATTGCGGTGGAGCTGTGAATGCTGTATGCCATGTGGGGCGACCATGGTGTGTGGTGGGCGGAGATGGGTGGTGTGTCAGTGTCACTGGCACTGCAGATGGGTGACGGTGATGCCTGTAGGGGAGTAATGCAGCTGCCAAGTGCATGTGCAGGTGTGGAACATGGTTGGCATGTGATGCTCATGCCCATCCTTCACGACTGTGCTCAAACATGCCTGAGCAACACACCTGGGGCTCTGCTGCTTTCACCTGGGCGGCTATTGCCTGCTCTCCCCTTCCTCCCTCCGCCCCTCCTCCCCCCTCCTCTCCTTCCCCATTTGATTCCCCCTCACTCCCTCCCCCTTCCCTCTCTCCCCTTCCGTGCACTGGGCGCACTGCCCCCAGGTGGACGCGCTCCTGCTGCTGGCGCGCCTGCGGAAGCTGCGCCGCCCGCCAGTCCTCTCTCCCGCCTTCCCCGCTCCCTCCCCCCCCCCCCTCTTCCCCCCTCCATGCACTGGCCGCACTGCTCTCAGGTCAGGTGGACGCGCTCCTGCTGCTGGCGCGCTGCATGCTCCCCTCTCTCTCCCTCCTCCCATGCTCCTTTCTTGTCCCCCCCTCCCCCTGCACCCCCATGCACCGACCGCACTGCCCCCAGGTGGACGCGCTCCTGCTGCTGGCGCGCCTGAGGGAGCTGCGCCTGGCATGCTGCACGCTCGCTCCTTACTTCCTCCTTCCGTCCCCTCCCTTTCTCCCCCACTCACTGCACCCGCCCGCGCACCTGCCCCCAGCTGGACGCCCTCGTGCTGCTGGCGCGCCTGAGGGAGCTGCGGCGCCTGCGAGGGCTGCGCGCGCGCAGGCACGGTGGGCGAGGGGACGAGGGGAGCAGGGGGAGATAGTGTGCACCAGGAGAGATAGTGTGCACCAGGAGAGATAGTGTGCACCAGGAGAGATAGTGTGCACCAGGAGAGATAGTGTGCACCAGGAGAGATAGTGTGCACCAGGAGAGATAGTGTGCACCAGGAGAGATAGTGTGCACCAGGAGAGATAGTGTGCACCAGGAGAGATAGTGTGCACCAGGAGAGATAGTGTGCACCAGGAGAGATAGTGTGCACCAGGAGAGATAGTGTGCACCAGGAGAGATAGTGTGCACCAGGAGAGATAGTGTGCACCAGGAGAGATAGTGTGCACCAGGAGAGATAGTGTGCACCAGGAGAGATAGTGTGCACCAGGAGAGATAGTGTGCACCAGGAGAGATAGTGTGCACCAGGAGAGATAGTGTGCACCAGGAGAGATAGTGTGCACCAGGAGAGATAGTGTGCACCAGGAGAGATAGTGTGCACCAGGAGAGATAGTGTGCACCAGGAGAGATAGTGTGCACCAGGAGAGATAGTGTGCACCAGGAGAGATAGTGTGCACCAGGAGAGATAGTGTGCACCAGGAGAGATAGTGTGCACCAGGAGAGATAGTGTGCACCAGGAGAGATAGTGTGCACCAGGAGAGATAGTGTGCACCAGGAGAGATAGTGTGCACCAGGAGAGATAGTGTGCACCAGGAGAGATAGTGTGCACCAGGAGAGATAGTGTGCACCAGGAGAGATAGTGTGCACCAGGAGAGATAGTGTGCACCAGGAGAGATAGTGTGCACCAGGAGAGATAGTGTGCACCAGGAGAGATAGTGTGCACCAGGAGAGATAGTGTGCACCAGGAGAGATAGTGTGCACCAGGAGAGATAGTGTGCACCAGGAGAGATAGTGTGCACCAGGAGAGATAGTGTGCACCAGGAGAGATAGTGTGCACCAGGAGAGATAGTGTGCACCAGGAGAGATAGTGTGCACCAGGAGAGATAGTGTGCACCAGGAGAGATAGTGTGCACCAGGAGAGATAGTGTGCACCAGGAGAGATAGTGTGCACCAGGAGAGATAGTGTGCACCAGGAGAGATAGTGTGCACCAGGAGAGATAGTGTGCACCAGGAGAGATAGTGTGCACCAGGAGAGATAGTGTGCACCAGGAGAGATAGTGTGCACCAGGAGAGATAGTGTGCACCAGGAGAGATAGTGTGCACCAGGAGAGATAGTGTGCACCAGGAGAGATAGTGTGCACCAGGAGAGATAGTGTGCACCAGGAGAGATAGTGTGCACCAGGAGAGATAGTGTGCACCAGGAGAGATAGTGTGCACCAGGAGAGATAGTGTGCACCAGGAGAGATAGTGTGCACCAGGAGAGATAGTGTGCACCAGGAGAGATAGTGTGCACCAGGAGAGATAGTGTGCACCAGGAGAGATAGTGGGAGTTGAGCTGGAAAGGGGGGGGGACAATAGGCTCCTCTTCTAGACAGAATTTTTGGTGCTTGAAGGACAAGGTGTGGCTTATTGAAGCATTGGTGCTTTTTCTCAACTTTAGAGTTTGCGGTGAGACAACAGATCAGGCCCTGAGACCAAAAACACCCTCGAGGGCTCAAGACGTGGCTTCCAGGTTTTTCCGCAAAGGTCTGGCTGGATTGGTCACTGTTATTCGGGGTGAACTGAGTGAAGTTTACCCACAGATAGTGTGCACCAGGAGAGATAGTGTGCACCAGGAGAGATAGTGTGCACCAGGAGAGATAGTGTGCACCAGGAGAGATAGTGTGCACCAGGAGAGATAGTGTGCACCAGGAGAGATAGTGTGCACCAGGAGAGATAGTGTGCACCAGGAGAGATAGTGTGCACCAGGAGAGATAGTGTGCACCAGGAGAGATAGTGTGCACCAGGAGAGATAGTGTGCACCAGGAGAGATAGTGTGCACCAGGAGAGATAGTGTGCACCAGGAGAGATAGTGTGCACCAGGAGAGATAGTGTGCACCAGGAGAGATAGTGTGCACCAGGAGAGATAGTGGGAGTTGAGCTGGAAAGGGGGGGGGACAATAGGCTCCTCTTCTAGACAGAATTTTTGGTGCTTGAAGGACAAGGTGTGGCTTATTGAAGCATTGGTGCTTTTTCTCAACTTTAGAGTTTGCGGTGAGACAACAGATCAGGCCCTGAGACCAAAAACACCCTCGAGGGCTCAAGACGTGGCTTCCAGGTTTTTCCGCAAAGGTCTGGCTGGATTGGTCACTGTTATTCGGGGTGAACTGAGTGAAGTTTACCCACAGATCAACTCCAGAGCTTCCTCTAGAAGTGTTTTCTCCGCAGTTGTGTCTCATTGACCTGTTAGGGTATTTCCGGCAGCTGGAACATGTTTGGCTCTGTCTTAGAACCTGCATGCGTGAATCAGCTAGCGTTTCTTCACTGTTTATTTCTCCCCTTGCAAAACGTTCCATAGAACTGCCGCTCACTCAATCACGAGTATCTAAAAGTGGTTACCATCTGCCAGTCCTCCCTGAGTCTTGGAACCTGGTCCTGGGGAGGAGGACGATGCTGCTACTCTCCTGCACACAGAGAGAGACGCCGCCTCTCTCTTGCCCATTATTTCCTCTTCCGCGTGCCCCTGTGTTGTACAATCTCTTCTCTCCCCCTCGCCCTCCCCCGGTGTTCTCATGCCGTGCCGTGTGGTGTGTGGGAGCACGCTGGCAGGGCGGGTGGTGGAGGGCGAGGAGGATGCGTTCATGCGCGCTGTGAGGGACGCCGTGCAGCAGGAGGACAGGCGGGGGGACGTGCATGGGCACAAGGAGGGGAGGGGAGAGGCGGCGGGGCACGAGAAAGGAAGGGAAGAGGCGGAGGAGCAAGAGGAGGGGAGAGGGGGTTTGGATGAGGAAGCAAAGCAAAGAGCATGCGTGTGGGAGCAGCCAGCAGCGGAAGCAAGAACGGCCGTTGGTGAGAGTGGAGTCGATGGGGGGGATGGGGGAGATGGGGGGGAGATGGAGGAGGCAGGCCAGGGACAGGGGCAGGGGCAGGGAGACATGCGTGGCAGCAGGGAGGGGGGAGCACACCACGTGCCCCTGCGTGGCCTCACAGCAGTGCGGCGCCAGTGGGATGCCTTCCTGCTGCCCCTGCCTTGCTCCGCCCCATCCCCTCGCCCCCAAGTACCCCAGCGCACTCTAGGCGCTCTCGCCCCTCACACCCCTCACACCCCTCACACCCCTCACACCCAGCAGCTCCTCACATTAACCTCCTCCCTCATGTGTGAAGGCTCGTCAGTGCCTCCATGCTGGCTGCCTGCTCCCCCACCTGCCACCTCCGAGTGGCGACTCTATCTCCTCGGGAATGATTGAGACGTTGACTCTTGCCTACCATTCTGGCTGTGATATCACTGGAAGAAGATGCTGGCTCTCCCATCATAGTTTTTGCTAGGTATGTCAGGGTGCCTGATTTGATATATATACACTAAAAAAAAACTTATAAAGGCTTTACTACTTCGCGTACAACCCAATCTCTCTTGAGCATGCTTGGAAGATGACACTAAAGTTGCATCGCGTTACATTCGTCCTTTCCGTGCCTTGCCTCAATTCATAAAGGTTTCACCGCTATATTATTTAGTAAAATTTACTCTCTTCTCTCTCCGTATTGTCATAGCTTCGTTATTTCATTATTTGCGCAAACTTTATGATGATTCAATTATTCATAAGAGTATCACAAGTTCACAACACAAGCCCAAGCATCAAGGTTTGCCGAAGGTAGAGTGGTGTAGAATAATGTCCAGCAACAATAGACCGTACAGACCGTCCAGACCGTACAGACCGTCTAGCACCATGCGGCGGACACCCGTACAGACCGTCGCGGAGCGGAGTCGCATTTGGGGGTTTTGAGGGGCACAGACGGTTTATGTATATATAGCTTCGGTACAATGCGAAAATGTGCGGTAAGCCCTGACGCCTATTGTTGACATCTGCGATTCGCACATGGCTGTGTCAGAATGTTGTAATTGTCTAGCCTGCAGTGGGGTACTCTATAGCGAGTACAACCCAAATTAGGGTTTCCTATATGTACCTTGCATGCTGCTAGTACAAAGCCCTCTTCTCTGTTCTATCTTTCGCCCTACTATCTCGATATGGTATCAGAGCGTTCACGCTCCTGGCCTGTGGGCCC